GCTGTCAGCTTTTCTTTTTTAAGTTACAGTCGCCATTTTAGAAATGGGCACACAAGCCTTGTGTCACAAGGGTCACGCGGCAAGAGTGCTGACTCAGGTCTACTGCCATCTTCTGGTGAAATATAACCACCAGCCTTGAAGGAGCAGAAGGCAGTGGGAATAGCTGCGGGAACCGTTGTGCGGTGAAGGGAAAAACGCCGGCAGGTAGGGATGAGTGACAGGCTGAGCTGGCGGAGAGAAGAGGCTGCGGGCCACTCGAAATGTGAAAACGGGCCACAATTGGCCCACGGGCCGGACTTTGGATATGCCTGTCTTAGGGGTTGTTTGCAAGGTTGAGAAAGTCACTGTTCTGGGCTCTCTCTCTTCAGTTAGAACAGATGATAATGGTCAAGTAATTTTAAAACCATTATATATAACTAAAAAAAGATACTTTAATTAACATTAGGTTTTTGTTGTTGTTGTTGTTATATTTCATTTGTATCTCAGGGTTTTTTCCCCTTCTTGTGAGGAGGCTGCGTAGGCTTAGATAGCGACATACAGGTATGTGAGGGGGTGTCACATGGAGGTGGGTAGAGACCTGTTCTCCCCTGCAGAGGAAGGCAGGATGCGCTCCCACGGAGCAAAGCTCAGGGAGCCAAGGTTCCATTTGGATGCCAGGAAGCACTTCCTGACCGTTAGGACCCCGAGGGTGTGGAATGGGCTTCCACGAGAGGTCGTTGAGGCCCCATCGGTGCGGGTGTTCAAGGATAGGCTGGACGTGCACATGGTGGGCATGTCGTGAGCGGAACCGGCTGGTGCCGGAGGTCAGACTAGGTGGCCCGGGAGACCCCTTCTGACTCGCTCTGTTCCTATGTTTCTATAGTTCTCCTACACTCCATTATTATCTTCACAACAGCAACCTTGTGAGGTAGGTCAGGCTTGAGAGTAAGTGACAGGCCCAAAGTCACCCAGTGAGCTTCATGGCTGAGTGAGACTAGAATTCAGGTCACTGTAACCACCATGTTCACGGTTAGCATTCTGATGCTCATTATGGGTCAAATGAGTTAATTGATAGGGAAACAATGAAATTAACTTCTACAACATCCAAATCCTGTGGAAAGGGGACTTCCTGGTTCCTGCAGCAAGCAGGAAGTCATCACGGACAGTTCCAGGCAGTGGCCACTGCCACTTTTGCTTCTGTTTCTGTTTGGCGATGTCTGCAGTTGGATCAGAGAATGGGAGAAAAGTTTTGCTGTTAGTCTAATCTGGGTGTCATCGACATAGCAACATTTTTGGCTTCATGGAATATTTGACTGCAGCCAAAAAGCAAGCAGTCAAATGGCAATATTTTGACCAGTTAATTAACCAGCATGCCAACTCTGCATTTGCAATTTAAAGCTTTGGTTATTAGCAAATGCTTGGCACAGCTTGAATAATTCTTTGGGCCATGCCTTTATATCTGAGTGAAAACAATTCTGTTTGCAATGGTATTCAGTTTTACACTGATTTACCTGCTCATATTCACCAGCTACAGCTGCTGGACACATGCTCTCAGGACTAAGAGGATGATGCATGAGCTAAAACCGTGTTCTGGAGACATTCGGAAGCAAGTGTGGCCTTTAGGGATTGAAGTTAGTTGGGAACCATGAATCTGAATCGATGCATCCACAGCGTGATGGGATGACGCCATTTGCAGTGCTGATCAGAGAGTGCTGCCCTCAGAGCTCCCCCCAAGAAGCACTTCCTGTCGCAAGGGATTAAACCACCATTACTGACCCGGCGCGATAGTAACACTTCCTCCTGGCCACCTTTGTGGTTTAGCAGTGAGTGGACTGTGATCCTCCCCCCCCCCCCCCCCGCCGCCCTGATCACACATGGTCTGGCAGTGCCCTGATTTGCCCCACGGCAGCCACAGTTTGCTGACACAGCCGCATAGGGAGGGACTTGGGCAGTGCAGCAGGGGCACAGCAAAAAGGGGCGACTTTGCTGGAGCACAGACCCTTTTGGCTACTGCCCCCCCCCCCCAGCATTGGTGGCACAAGCTCCTCCAGTGAGGCAGAGCAAGTGGGGGCTGCTAAAATGGCTGGGGTGATGAGCTGGGCATCCCCTCCCAAGCAAGACGGCCACACCAGCACTTCTTGTAAGAGTTTTATTCTACACAGGAAATCTAAGCATTCATAAGTCTCTGAGGATACACAAGGAGAAGCGTTGATCCCTCTCTGCCCCCCTTTACTCTAAGCTTTGCTTATGAAACCTTTGGGGCCAGTCTCTGGAAGGTGGGGTACTGTGAAAATGCATCTGCCTCCATTCTGCACTCTGAGCCCCTGATTGGTCCGGCCTGAGGCTGTGACAACAGGCCCACGGGTCCACGTCTTCAGGAGGCTCGTGTTCTCCATCCAAGAAATCTCGTGTTGTCCGTCCAATTTCTCCATCCGAGAAATCTCCCTCCTCCCGTCCTTGGTTTGCCTCATTCCCACATGCAGGAGGGAGACTGGGCCCCTGGCTGTCCTTGAGCTACTTTCATCCAGGGCAGGTGCAGGCCTGCCACTTAGGGCAACAATCCCGTTACCGGAATGTGAGCTTTCACACATACACACACAGAAACCGAGTGAGTCATGGTTCAGCCTTCCCCACATCATCCTCCTAGTCTGAGCTATCAGTCCCACCAAAACAGGCCATCTCTCCTGCATGCCTGGGAATCTTGTCAGAGTGCGCGCGCACCACACTGGGGACCGCCTGCAGGCAGTGAGTGCCCCACACTGGACCTACATGGAAAAAGGGAGCAGAAGGGCTAAAGTACAAGGAGGAAAAGCCTACATGGGTGTGTTGACTAGCACTTGTTTGGTATGTAAGCAATAAAAAGTTTTCAATAGCTGTATTTACTGACATTCATTAAACAAGGCAGAAGACCTCAACAGGATAAATAGAGCTGACCTTGAAGGTGATATGAAGAAGTGCTTGAAGAGCAATCTGCAGTGGGGTGTTGGGAGCAGAAGGACTAAAGTACAAGGAGGAAAAGCCTGCATGGGTGTGTTGACTAGCACTCGTTTGGTATGTAAGCAATAAAAAGTTTTCAATAGCTGTATTTACTGACATTCATTAAACAAGGCAGAAGACCTCAACAGGATAAATAGAGCTGACCTTGAAGGTGATATGAAGAAGTGCTTGAAGAGCAATCTGCAGTGGGGTGTTTGGAGCCGAGGACAAAATGGCAGATCGCCTGCCGTGTCCAAAGTCCAGCCTGCAAATACCAAGCTGGAAAGGAGGCACGAGGCTGGACTGTCTTTTTTCGTTGACTTCCTCCCACTGCAAGCAAGGATCATGGTGGCACTGGTGAAGTTCCAGTGACTGGGCTGAGAGCTCAGCTGGGGCCCTTCAGAGGAACGGAGAGGCTGTGCCCCAGTGGATGCAGGACCCCCTCCGTGCCAGAGCAGCCCCGTTCAGGGGCTTGCCAGCAGCAAAATACCACTGCTGCTCGGTCGGATCTGGTGGCGCTCGGCCAGGGCCTCCAGGCCAGGTGTCTCTCCCCACTTGTCAGCACAGCTCTAGCTCAATGGACCTGGGTGTTAGCACTGCTCAGTCCAAGAAGAGCTTTAAACAAGGATATCCATTGCTTTAGAGTGTCCCCACCTGAGGGCATCATCATGAAGAAACCTTGAGCTCAGGCCGCTCTTTCTTGGACCACCAGGGCAAAGATGATTGAAGCTGGATTGAGTTGGTGGCCAAAATCCTCTCTTCATGCTTTCCTTCCAGATGTAGGAAGGGCCATGTGCCAAGGCAGAACGATCTAGTCCCCCCATCTCAGGTGTTACAACTATTAATCCAATGCACTTCCTGCCCCATAGAAGCTAAATTCTTCCGTGCAGCTCTTCCAGAAAAGCAGTGGGGTCATGTCTCCATGGCAGCTGTGTTTCGGAAGATGATTCGGAAAGTGATCAGCAACTCGGAGGAGGGAAAGAAGCCATTGCCCAGGGGGCACCTCAGCCCATTAAGCAAGCACCTGCAATGTTGCCGTCATGCTTTGATGAATGACAAATGGGCACATCATGTGCTCTGGCTGCTTTTCAAAGCCGCGGCAGCTGGGAAGGGATTGAGACATACTGGGATCACTGGCATTTCTTAAAAAAAAAAACCCTCTGGCAATTTGCAAGTCACTGTGGGCTATTTTCTGGCTAGAAGCTACTCTGCACATTTGTGCCAATGCAGCAAACAGTTCTAACCATGTGTGACACGTGTAATTGTGTCGGTTGCCCAAGACGGCAGTAAAGAGAAGGGAACTGCTTTTCCTGGTCCAACTGCAAAGGGCCGGCTGCCCAAGACAGCAGTACTTGTACCCCAGAAAAATCCCCCTCCGTACACCTCACAGCATCTTCGTAGCTGCTTGGATGGCCACAGCTCTGTGGAGGGAGCACTTGAGCAGGCCTCCTGCACCAGCAGAATGGCTTAGACTGGCGCAGAAAGTTAAAAGGGTGGGGGAATGGAAGGCGTTACCAGGTGGCCGGATTCTCCTCCTGTTTCAAGTCCTTAACTTAGCACCAAGACCTGCTTGTGATGCTATGACTGCAGCTCAGTCATTCCTGCCTTCGTAGGGTTACCCCCTTTCACCCCATCCTCCTTCTTCATGAAGCCCCTTATAACCAGAGGCATTCACCCAGAGGGACGGTGGGGGGCGACTGCCCCCATGCTGGATCCCAGGCTTGGCATCATCTGAGAGCAGTAGCAACAACTTCCGTGTAGCATCTCACCTGTCCTTACCTGAAATTTCTAGCCACACAGACAAGGCTCAGGACAGGGAAAATAACCAGGCAGGCAGCAGCATGGCCAGGCTTCCCCACACTTCCCAGTAACTCAGTTTTGTTTTTGTTTTCATTACAATTTCTCAGTCAAATTAGCACAACGGCACTCTAGGTTACACATAACCTGTGTTTGTGATGGAAGCCATGTTCCACGAGTTGCAGATTTTGTCAGGAAACATCAGAGGGCAATCTCTAAAACTATATTGTCTTTTCTAATTATTTCAGCCCATTTTCTTATTTTCATCATACCACCAAAGTGCTGCAAGTGGACATCCGGCAGACCCCCCCAGATGCTGCAGCTGTGAACCAGGCCATACCAAGGCTTCCAAATGAACCACTGGGGCAAGGTAGCTCCCTATTTGAGAACAACGTTACCGGATTGGCTCCCAAGAACAAACTGAGTGCCCAAGAGAAACAGGCTGAGGTCAGAAAGCTTCCCAGATCAGTTGAGAAGCAAACCAGGAACACTCTTGTGACAGCCAATAAAAAAGCACCTGAAAAAAAGTTAGAGCCCAAACAACATGAGACTCAGGTTGAAGACAAGCGTATGGCACCTGCAGTGAGTTTAAACCACACTGAAGCTTTGGATGGTACACCAACATCGAATAAGAAAGAAGGTGAAAAACACAGTGCACCAACATCTCATCTGGAGGAAAAGAAAAGTAAAGGTGAGGTGTCACAAGCAAAGAAGCCAGCTGAAGCTAAACATGTGGCATCAGCAACCCATCAAAAGAAGGCTGAGGGAATGGATGAGACAAGAGCATCCAAACTACAGCAGCTAAAAGCTAGCCATGTTGCTAGGCCTTCCAGAGCAAAGCAGGCCTCCGAGGAACCATCTAGAGGTGCAGACGCAGCTCAAGGGCGCTCTGCCCAGCTTCCCACCATTAGGGATCACAGTGCTTCTGCCACGCACCGTGTTCCTACAGCTATTCCCCAGAAGAGGTTTAAAGCAGCTGACTTCAAACTTGAGCCCCAGTGGGCCTTCGATGATGAGTATCTCCTGGATAACTCCTTCCAGCAGTCTGTGAGTAGATACAGTAGACTTGGTCACACATCTTCTAAAAATATCTGCGTTTCCTTATGTGCTAAGTAACTCTAGACTTGTTGTGGGCCTGTTCACTCATCTGTAATTTGGGACCACACCAAAAGAAAATTTAAACTGAATGTGGAAAAAAGGGAGCTTAACCCTGTGTTTAGGTTTGCTCAGGTAAGACGTTTTAATAAAGCTTTGGCAATTGCAGGACCTCCGTTGAAGACAAGAAGAGCCTCTGCCCCCAAAGAAAAGTCCCTTACTTATATAACATTCTTTGGTTATGCAGAGAGAAATAGAAAGCTAGCCATTTACTGTGTGTAGTAATTACAGTAATCACAGATACACCACACAAAGGAGGTCACTTTTTTTGCTTGTTTTGATGTTGATTTACAAACTCCAGACTGCATCCTGGATTATCACAGTTAGTTGTAAGTTACCACATCTTCTCAAGAATGTGTACTTGTTACCTTCAGAACACATGCAAGTGGACTTCTTTCCCAAGAGGCCGAGTTGACCCAACAAAGATGCAACATCTCTGACTTCTACAGGCTATATTGTTGCCTGTTCTCTCCCAGCCTTCCTGGCATTTGGTCCGAGGGCTTACTTTGGGCTCTTACACTATTATTAACATCTGGTCTGGTCTGAGACAATGACTACAAAGCATTGAACTATTAGCAGGGAGTCCTTAATGCACCTAAGTCTCTGAGCTCGGACACCCGAATATATCCTATGCCCTGAACAAGGCATGCCTCGCACCCTGATTTTTATCTAGACAGCCAGTTTTTACTCCCTGGGGTGGGGGCCGGGGGGAGAAGAGGCTGGAGTGCCAATAGGAATGGGTGTAAGTTCTCAGCCCCGGCCTACTCTCCTCTCCATCCTCAGCATGCCCATTTCTATTTCTGCTGAGGTGCATTTGCAAGCTTGGGGGAAGTAGTTGGTGCAATTTTTTGTGTGCAGCTACAAGCGGGGTAGGGAGAGGGAGTATCAGCCTCTAGTGTCTCAAAGTCCCAGTGGGACTGACAGGGTTTTAGCTGTCCAAGGGAAAAAAGGGCAATAAAATGAAGGCAAAAGAACAACGCTGACACAAAAGAAGATTAGATTGCTACTTGAAATCCCAACAGACATTGAAGCTAAGGCCAGCTCATGGACTATTTTATTTATTTATTTATTAAAACATTTCTATGCCGCCCCTTGCCAAGGCCTCGGGGCGGACTACTGATCTAGACTGCATGCAGTGGATCTTCCATGGTTGTCCATACCAAAATTTTTTAAAAAATCCTAAACTATGAAATACCATGTCAGGAGGCAGGGAGAATAGGTTAGAATCCCCCCTTGATGCCTCCGTTTTTACATGGAAGAAATTTCTTGTCTGGGAGATCATTCAATTGATCTGGCTTCTATCTGCAATCTGGTATAGTTTGGACATAGGTTTAACAGCCCAAAAACTCTATGTGGCAGCTGCTGCACCACAGAGCATGGAATACATATTTTTAAGAGGCCAAAATGTATTGAGAAAAATCAAGAGACTGTGAGATCCATCTCTAGAAAGCCTATTTCTAGACCTCATAATTGCAAAAGCAATTACATGAGCAGTCCTTTTCACCCAAAGTCCTTTGCCTTCCGCCTTTAAACAGCCTTTATATGCATTTTTCTTTGCCTGCTTCCTTCCCAATATTCTGTGCTTTCTCCAAACTATTATTTGTGTTTTTTAAAAATTGAAACAAACATTGCAACTGGAAAATAAACTGTTTATGCAAATTTACCCAGTAAGTGTAAAGTTTGTTTAAGTAACCAAACTGGGAGGTTTCAGTAAAGAATGCCAGGAAAGAATCACCACCAAGCAAACCCATAATGGAACAGTTTTTCAAGTATAGCATTTGTGTAGCCCGAGGCTGTTTGCAACATGAAACCTAGTGTTTCAGTCCTACTTGTTCTGAGCAGGACGCCCCTGTTTTTTAGACACTGCTTTTTTATTAGAATAAAAGGAGGTTCAGGAAGCCTTGCACCCATTTTTTTAACCTGAAAAATGGGTAGAATTAGACAGGTCACCAAGTGTCTTGCAGCAACTGTAGAGGCCTTGCACTTTCTCTGAGGGGTGTGAAGCAACAGGGGGCTTAAAAAAAGAGGCTTCCTTCCTCTTAAGCGATTTTGTAAAGGTCAGGTGTGTCATCTTTATTATCTGTTGAAGACCAAAGCACCCCAGAATGCTTTGCACCGGGACAGGAAACAATAGAGTGCTGTTAGGAAATTTATTTGTCCCCAGCTAGTGTGTGAATTGCAGCTTGACTTGGGCAGAACAAAGAAGGTAATAAAAAGGCGCTGGCACCGCACCCCATATGTCATGGCTCTGCCACACCACGGATGTCAACACGGATTTCAGCAGCAGGAAGAAAAATAGATCCTGGGAGTAGCTTATGCTAAGGATATTTGCTTCTTAGGATATTTGGCAAAACACAAAACACAGATGCTGAGAAAACTGCCCTGGCCACATCCATCACATCAATGGCACTCGGTTTGATGGCCTTAATGACAAGAAGCTGCTCCTGCTTGAACAAGTTTGAGTCCACCTCCTAACCTTGTCTCCTTCTTCTTGTATTTCAAGAGCTGCCCCAATTCTCTGCGGGACAAGGCTGCCAAATCGGACTGGCTCAAGAATGTGCTTCTGCCCAACATCACGATCTTCATGGACAAGAGTCACTTCAGTGACCATGAATGGGAGCGCATGGAGCATTTTGTCCCCCCCTTTGGTTTCATGGAGCTAAATTACTCATGTGAGCACCTCTGCTAAGCAGGTTCCTGGCAGGAATTCTGCCCTGGAACAAGGAATCGCCAGCCACCTGTCCCCCAAAGTTCCCCAGTTACTTGGTCCTTGTCCCCACTGTTCTGTGATCAGCCTGATCAGACAATGGAGGGGACTGTTGTCGTTTTCCCCGAGGAAGCCCTGAATGAGAGGAGACGCGTGCACTCAGATTCTCTGTGTGTTTGGGCGAGAATTTGGGTGTGTTTGTGTGACACCCAGCAGGAAGCAGAACTGGCCCAACAAAGAGTTGTAGTGAGGTGGCATCCTCAGGTGGAGGAGCTTGGGTGGCTTTCATGGAGTGACACAGTTTTATTTCATTAGTCCATTAATTGATTTTTGTACTGCCCAATAGCTAAAACTCTCTGGGCAGTTACAAAAGATTAAAATGTGAAAAATACAATATAATGCCATCTAAAACACAAGGCAGAAAGCATTTACACTGAAAAGCTTTTGCATACAAAAAGAGTCAACAACGAAACATCCTAGCACCTGCATGAGTAAAGCACTGCTGTTTTCTCGTTGTGCACATGTTTCCTGAAAGTGGACTTTAGAAGAAGACACTTACTGGGAGGGGCTTTCTTCTGTAGCCCAGGCTGTTTATTGCACTAAAAACAGTGCCAAGTTAAACTGGTCTACTCAGAAGTGAGCAGTTTGGAAAAGCACTCAAATTGCAGCGGAAACAATTGTAACAGTAAAGTTGCACTGATTTGGAGGGAAATGATGAATGCACTCAGCTTTACTGTGGGCTCAGTTAAAGGCCCAGGATCCCTTTCTCCTCTGCCTCCTCGCCTACAATAGGATGAACTGTTGTTTTGTACGTCGTGTTATCAGCTTGTTTTATAGTCTTGACCGGCAGGTGGCAGCAGCGCCCACATTCACGGCAACCGCTCTCTAAAGACAGGCGACTTCAGGCACCACCTCCCTGAAACCTGCATTGCTCCCCCCCACCCCGAGCACCTGGGTCCCTGACGAGTGGTGAGGGGGTCCCCTCCTCCCTGGCCATGCGTCCCCCAGTAGGGGAGCTCCATCTGCCATGATGGTCTCCGGGAGTGACTTGCTGGTCTTGAAGAAGACAGAAAACAGAAATTCTGCTTCTGGAGAACCGAAGAAGACTATTCTTCCATCAGCTTGGCTGGCTGAGGGCTTTGCTTCACGAGGCATTTAAGGTGCACTTGTGATCTCTCACTCAGGGAAGTTTGCAAGGTCTTTCATGCACCCACGGCCCTCCAGGGACTCTCCTGTGTTTCCCAGCCTTTCTTGGCAATCCTTTTAGAGTGAGGAAAGCCTGCTGTTAAAAGTCAAATTGCAACAAAGAGGAGTAAAAGCCTCGCTGTGGTTGGTAATAGAATATATAGAAAGGCAGGGAAATACAACCTCCCAACCCCCCCCCCGCCAAAACAAAACAAAAACAAAAAACCAACTGTTTAAAGAGATGTGTTTTTCCTCTTGCAACAAAAGCGAAAGAAGGCTCATAAAGTAGCGGAGCAAACCCCTCCTGTACAGAAACCCTGGGTTGTGTACATGGGCAACCTATGATGTATCTGTTTGATCCTTTATTGCCCAGGTCAGAACTGCATATATTTAAATCCATATTGCACCTTTCAATGGATAAAAAAGAAATCCTCAAATAATTACAGACAGTATTAAAGAATTAAACAACGATAATGCAGGATCTAGTTACATTCACTAAATGCTCTTGCTGGGAGGAGCAGAGAGGAAATATTCCCAGATTCCTGTTTTCCCCTGGAAAGCCGCTTTGGGAGGTTGGGGACTATTTGGAGCAAAGTGGAGGAGTCATAGAAGCACTGAAACAGTGCGAGTCAGAAGGGGTCTCCCGGGCCACCTAGTCTGACCCCCGGCTCCAACCAGCTCTGTTCGTGACGTGTTTATGGGGTGAAGGAGAAATTGGCACCTTGGTGCCTCTGGTGGGGATACCACCCCTCTCCTTTCTCCAAATGATAGAGAAGGGCAACTCCGTTCAGAGCAGCTCAGTTCAGAGAAGGGCAGCTCTGGATCCAACCCTTAGCATGAAAGGCCACAAACCCTAACCAGTAAGGAACCTTCCTGTCCCACCTTAAAGCCAAGTCAGCAGCATGTTCCCGGCTGGTTCTTTTCGTGTGTCTTGCTTCTGCTCTATTTCCCTCCCAGTTCAGAACACCGTACTTTTCTCTGGCCCATTAGCCCTTCATAGGAAATAATGATGCCTTTCTCTTTGCAGTGGTCAAAGAAGTCCTATCGATGCTTCCTCCTAAGCCCTCCTACCAAGTTCTCTTTGCGCACAACAGCAGCCAAATGTCCAGGTGTGTCACCTGTGCAGTAGTGGGAAATGGGGGCATATTGAACAACTCCAGAATGGGCCAGGAGATTGATTCCCATGATTATGTCTTCCGGTAAGAGCCTCTGAATTTTCCCTATTTATTTATGCATTGATTTAACAGATTTATACCCTGCATTTCCTAACAAACAAACCTCCAAGATAAAAGAAATACAAAATGTAAACAGCGTAAAGCAATGAGATGAAAGAATTTGTCTATAAAACATCAGCAACAGAAGATAAAGCAGTATTTAGAACTTTTATAAACTGCCCAGAGAACTTTAGTTATTGGCAATATAGAAATGACATCAGTAATGAAGATAAGAACAGCAATAAATAGATTGGCACCTCATTTCAGTAGTATAAACCCAATAAAGGCTTTGGCGAATGGGGCGGCATAGAAGTCTCCTAAATAAATAAATAAATAAATAAAACTCAGCTCACTATTGCATGCTAGCAGCTTAAGTTATCAGATGCTATCAGCTTAAGTCCCTCCTGGAATTAACAGCCTTAGCCATCTGCCAAAGAGCAGAAGGTGAAATTCCATCGGGAGGAATTCCAGAGCCTCGGCATGAAGAGGCACAGTGTCTCTCTTCCATTTCTGCCTATGCAGGGATCCACCTCCACAAGCATTCCCATCATTCACAGTTTAGAGCAGACCTGGGCATTGTACGGCCCGTGGGCCACATCCGGCCCGATGGCTGACCCTGACTGGCCCGCATGAGGTCACTGGCACATTAAAAGTCAACCTTACTATGTTAAGCGCTGGGAGATTACATATGTTGTAAATTTGCGCTATATAAGTAAAATTGAATTGAATTTATTGCTTTTCATGTAATGTTGATGTTTTTGTGAATATTCATTAAATAGTGTTGTTCTGTGCTCCACAATTTCATTGTATCATTGTAATGTTTCATTTACTGTTTTTATAGAGATACATATAGAGCAGAGCTGTAAGTGTATTGGTCCGTCCCTTAACAACTGTCAAAGTTTCTCATGTGGCCCCATAGGAAAATTAATTGCCCACCCCTGCTTTAGAGCAAAGGGGGATAACTCCTCAAGCCCAGCTAGGTTGGCTCCTTCCATGAGTTGATCCCAATTTCCTCCCCTACTGGATACTTTGTGAAGAGGCAGGGAAAGGAATCCCATTTTCTGTGTGTTCACAGACTGGTGATAACAGGAGGAACAGCAGCTCTGCCTGCCCTAGATCTTTTCTGCAGCAGGCAAAGGCCTGGGGCTGGCAAGGTGACTTTACTGCAGGTGGACCTTCTCATGCACCACGAGGCCAGGAAGGACCATCCTGCTAATGCTCCCAGTAGGGACCAGATAGTGCCAGCCGGTGTGGCCTTCTCCCTGATGCCCTCCAGCGCACAGTGGGCTGAGTGAGGGCTACCTATGCAGCATGGCCATTCGAGAACCTGGTGATGTTAAGGTGACAAGAGGGGGCTTCTGGAAAAAGGGAATGTGGGTGTCCAACCTTTCTTTCCTTTTTGCTGGTAGTCTTCCGTCAGCCCTCGCAGGGGCTGGAAATGGCCCTGCCTTGGTTCCAGTAATGATCTCACCTTCATGCAGCTGGCCAGCATCGTTTTTCATGTGGATGTAGACATGAAAAGGAGTACACACCTTCACACATGCGTCCTTGATCATTGGAGGAATCCTTTAACACTGAGCGTAACATCTTAAGGGTTACTGGATTTTAGAGATCAAAGACACCGTTGCTTAACCCAGTAGTAATTTACTGAAATGAATTAAAAATACATTTGAAAGATCAGGCTAAGGCAATAAACATTTATAGGATTAGATGTTATGCTTACAAACAAATGGTTCTAAGGATCAAGACAGGCACGTTGAAGGCAATGCCTCGGTGCCTTTGTTCAGTGGACTGTGAGGTGTGGCGGGTTGGAGAGGAGCCTGGTGATCAGGACAGGAGGGAAATGAATGTGGGGAGGGCAGCAGGGAAGGTGGACGAGGTGGGTAAGAGAGGAAGCCAGCAAGTGAAAAAGAAATTCTTGGTGATGCTCACACCTGAGGAAGGGGCGGAGAAAACAGTCCCTGGAAAAGTGAAGAAGAAGCAAGTTGAGTGTGTTGGTGGAGTAGCTGGGGGAGGTCTGGCAAGCGAACGGACTCGCTGGGAGCACAAGGAAAGGAGGAGTTCTGTGTTACTTGTGATGAAGATGGGTGCCTCTGAAGCAGCAGAGAGAGCGAAAGAGGAGGAAAAGGGGCTTTCACAAGCCTCGTTTTGTGTGTGTGAGGAAGGCTTCTCTAGGTCAAAGGGTCCTAACCCTTGGAAGGTTGAGTGCTGCTTCTGGCCCGGCATTTAATTATTAAAACTCAAAGCATGGCGTAGAATCCTGTCTCTTGCAGCTCATCCAAACCAAGGTGTGTGCTAGTTTCAGCAGTAAACTGACATCTTTCCTTTTTCCCAGCTTGAAGAAGGCACACATTAACAGGCAAGGTGTATTTACTTGTTGATGCTCCATGGCCGATGATTGGAGCCTCACTGCAAATTTGGAAGTGGTCTTCCAGGAGGGGGAGGGGAGTAATGATTCAGTCTGAACAATAGTCTGAACAATAGTGGATGCCCCAGAGGGATCATGGCTTTGAATTGCCTTTCTGCTTAGAAAGTCAGGCCTGACTTTTAGGTTTCTCCTATGCTTTTCAAAGCAGGAATGAGGCTTCCCTTTCTATGTTAAAAAGCAGAAGTGGGGTATCTGGTGACAGAATCTTGGTTTTCAATTTGTGAGGAGGAAAGTAAAACTCAGTCCATGGGAAAGATCAACTGTTTGAACCTCTGCTGCTTTATTGACTGGTGCCCCAGTACCTTCAGTCCAGTGCCCCAGTACCTATGATAATGAATTACTGGGCAGAGGTAAACTCAACTGCAAAATCTCAGCCCATGTACTGACACATTTATAACCTGCTAGTCAGTACACCAATACAGATAATCTTAGTACAATAGCATCCTGATGCCTTTGGGCATCAGATCAGAAATACTGTCAACAATAGGATGGAAAGCAGTACTGATTGCGGTATTGATAGGTCAGTCTAGCAAATTCATTAGTGTGCTGGGTCAGTCAGTTTACACATGCAAATGCATCTGATGGAGGAATCTGGTTTGGCAAGCACACTCAGCAGGAGCTTGCCTCTGTTTAGGTGGGCCCATTCAGAAACAAATGAACAGCAGTATTTCAGTTTTTCTACAGCTGATAAGAACACAGGTATTTCTAGTGAGGCTTCTCAGTCTAGCTAAGAATGCCATCTTCTTAAGGCTACAGCAATGCTAAACAGTGACGTGGCTTGGAAAGCTGGTCCTTTGTGAGAAGGAGTTGTAGCTTGGTTTTTATAACACAAAGGCACATATAAGCAATATTTTTCTGCCGGGATTTATCTAAATTTTCCCAACACTGGCAATATTAAACTGTGTATCTGAAACTGATGCAGTTCCTAGGCATTTTCTGTGGACTGCGTCTTCCAGCAGGCAGGAAGTCAAATTCTGAAAGCTTAGAACAGTGACTTCTATTAGGCATCACTGAAAATAACAGAGCACCCCACAGTCATCCACCGATGTGGGAAAGGGGAACTTGGTTTGTCAGAGATCAGTCCAACTATCTTGGGGAATGATGGATTCACCAAACACTCTTTTTCGCATTCGGATCTGCCACTGTTGTCCACAACCTTTTTGCTCAAAATGTTAGGGAATTCCAGCAGTTACATTAAGTCCTCAAGTGTGACCGTGCTAAAGCAGTCCTTGATTCCGTAAAGAGGAGACTATCAGGTTTCCAAGGAAAGCTCCTTTCAAAGAGAGACTGAACGCCAGATCTGGGTTTTAAACACTGTGCATGTAGCATTTATTCTATGATATAAAGAACACAGAAGTATAAGAATACAAGTTCAACCATCATCAGCAACAATATCAAGAGGCCTCATTCACACTCGCATTCATGCAACACTCATACTCACAGCCAATAGACCCTCTCGGTGATCCACTGGGGCTGTGGGTGACCAGTAGCAGTGCTGTTCTGACACACACGGGAGCTGGAAAGCCCTGGCATTTTATACCTTTAAGTTGACGCCATCAGCTTAGTCCAACTGGATCGAACAGTGGACTCCTCTGAGCAGAGCTGACACACAGAACGTGCTGGTCCTTATTCCATTCTCTCTCTGGATGGTACAGCTGTGGGCTTAACTGTTACGTTCCCTTCTCCAGCCACCCCCGGCCTCTCGGTTTTCTCAGTCTGGTCAGTCCCATCATGCCTTTTCATTCTTCGTTTTCTTCTGGGTCTTTGGCCTTCAGGAACCCAGGCACACTGTGACACAAGTATATTTGAAGTATGCTCCAAAGGTCATATTCTAGCAAATTTGCATTATACGTCAGCTCTCTGCATCTTGGTCTTGAGTGGGGTTTCATTGTTCTGACATACAGAAAATTAAAACTTTCTCTCATACCTTCCGTTTTGGAACTCCTTCCTCTGAACACCTTGCAAAGTCCAAACTTGTGTCAGTTGTATTGCATCATCTGTTAAAAATCAGCCATGTGTGCAATGTGTAGTATAATCCATGATGGAGATCCTACATGGCTAACTTTGCAATTTGATCTGATCTCTTGGGCCAGAGTGAGTGGAGCTGTGATCAAGGATTATGAGAAAGATGTGGGAACAAGAACATCCTTCTATGGATTCACATCCTTCTCATTAGCAACTTCGATCGCCAGCCTAAGTGGTCAAGGATTCAAGAAGGTTCCCATGGGAAAGGTAAGGCAGATCCCCTTGCAGGATCCACAGCCCTCCCCCTTTAGGATAAACAGTGGTCTAGAAGAGCAATTTAGCTCAGGAAAAGAGTGGAGAGGGAAAACTTAAGCCCCCTCTGAGCTGCACAGCTCAAATCTGATCCCCAGGATGCTTCCACCCCTGCAGTGGCTTTTGCCTTGTTTAAAAAAACAAGATCTCATCACAAATCACCTGGCATCTCTTCTAGTTTAGCCCTTAGAGGTCTAACACAACACAGATCTCCTGAGGATGATTGCTTTTCATTTGCTCCAAAGCCAACAAGCAGCAACTGCAGAGAAGCAGGACTGGACAACAGAGTTTGCTCAGCAGGGACTGCCAATGCTGCCTAAGGCATGAATGCTCAGGAGCTCTTGCTTCAATTCTCTCCAGTGGCTCCTCGTGCAGAGAGGATTCACGATCTGGTGAGATTAGGCTTGGCATGAGGTGACCCTTTAACTCCAGGGGATGTTGTATGTCCCAGAACAGTGGCCAGTCACTGTAGCCCCTGGACTAACGCCTCCAAGAGGTCCAGTGTCCGGTTGATCTGGGCCCTCTCCAGATGTTTAAATCAGCGTTGCAAATGTTGTGGAGTGTTCTGTTTTCTAGTTTCTCTCATCTTGACCCCTGCTCTGTTGCTCTGAAAGGCTTAAGTTGGTGGGCACTATTTACATAAGTTATTCAGAAAGTGATCAGGGGCAGAATGTGGATGTTGGCTGGCCAGCCTAGAGGACGCCCCATCCTACCCATTCATTAGAAGTGCTTCGGCAGTGCTTCCGCTCCATCTGCTGTGCTCCCTGACCAGGGTATGTGTGGTGTGTTTCCTAGGATATCCAGTACCTTCATTTCCTGGAAGGAGAACGAGATTACGAATGGCTCAAAGCTCTTCTGCTGAACATGAAAGTCAGAAAGGGATTTTTTGACTACTACGGGTGAGAGTTGCTGTGCTTCCTGGGCCCTTTTCAGAGCCCTCTTCCTTAAGCTTTTTGTAACTTACGTTTCTTTTCACAGGAGGCTTTGTGACAACCCCACTAGACCTCCATTGTGAGCAGGCCTAGATAAGAATTATTTTCTACCTCTTCTTCTGGTGTAAAATACACTATAGTGGCTGGGTTCAGACAACAAAATAATCCACACTTAAGGGTAGACTATGTGGATTATGGTTGAACCATGGGCTGTTGTTGAAACATGGCTATCATGTTGTCTGAATCCATTTATGCTAACAAACCATGGCTTGTTAACCACAAACAACCTGTGAAATGAAACCATGGTTTGTTGTTGTATGGTGAAATATGGGCTTTCACCATAGTTTATCTCAGCTGGGTTTAGACAACACAATAACCCATGTTTCAACAATCACGCACAGTTCAATGATAAGCCACTCTCAATCCATACTCAAGCCCTTGAGTACAAGTTACTTTGTTGTCTGAACCCAGCCATTGTCTCTTAGACCCTGGAGACAGACAATGCCATCCTCCATCACTTAGTTCTGTATGACTTGCATAAAAGATGGCAAACCAGTTTTGATTGAAATCGCATGTGCTCTGCCTGAAGCCATTTCTTTCTTTTCTTAGATCAAGGCCTAGGGAGAACTTTGATAAAGATTTCAACCTGGATAAATACCATGTGATTCATCCAGACTTTCTTAGATACACGAAAAACAGGTGAGTGATATGTGAAGTTACCTTTTAAAAAATCTTGGGTATGTTCTGATATTGGTAGCATCTCAGAGCAGGACGGGTATTCGGTGGTGACAGCCAGGTCAGCCTCCTCCTCCTCGCTCCACTGCTGCCAGAAATGGCAGGGTGTGCGCCACACAAATCCCCACCAGATGATTTTGGTCGGCATGTTCAAACAGTGAGCAGAAGGTTTTGTTTCACCCTGGTTGAAATGGCACCCTTAGCACAGACAGAATCATTTCAACAGATTGTTTCCACATTGACTCCAGAAAAGTTTCTAGCCAGCTTATTTGCCCATGTTTTCAAGGTGAGCTCCATAGTTTAGCAGTAGGAGCTAGGAAAGCTGAGATGTTATTCTTTTATTTAGTTATTAATGTATTGAAATATTTGTATCTGACTTCCAGCTCCACACAGGGCAGTCATGGCTGCTCACATCAGTACAAACAATCTAATTCATAGAACAAAAATAAACACTGACCAAACAGCAACAACAAGCACAGCTGAGATTTTTTATCAGTGCAGTGGCTTCTGATTTGCCTCCAGGCCCAATTGGAAGTGCTGGTGTTTACCTGTAAAGCCCCAAACAGCTCGGAGCCAGGCTACTGGGAGGACAGGCCCCTCCCCTATGAAGGTACCTATAGACTGATATCCTCTTCTGAGGCTCTGTTGTGTGTCCCGTCATCAAAAGAGGCTCAGCTGGTGGCAAGACAGGACAGGGCCACAGAGCAAACAGAATGTTGGATGAAGTAAACCTTTGATCCAATCCAGGAGGGCTCTTCTTATGCTTTTACATTCTCACTACCTCAGGAAGTGCAAGTTTGGAAGGATGTATTTGCCAAGGTACCAGGTACTTTCAACCTGAGTCCCAAAAGGAAGGCAGCGTTTGATTCTCCCAGGCAACTGCAGGGTCCTGACATTCCACAAGAATTCTCTGAAAGCACCTGAATGAGAGTGCAGCTGCAAAATTTATATGACATTGCAGTGGGATTCAGTGGATCTGTATTCGCAGTCTGAAAATTAAAAGTTGAATTTCAATTGCCATTCCACATGGGAAGGTTGCCACGCCATGACAGGTTGCTACCACTCTCTTGCTGCAAGGGCACTTGTGGCTTCCAGGACCAGGGTGAAGAAAACGCTGATCTAGACATCATATCTTAAGGACATCATTCATCCTGAACGTGGGCACTTGGGCCTCATGCAAATGTCACACAATCAGTCTCATCCTAAGCCCTTCTTAGCCCAACCATCTTTTTGGAAAGACCCATTTGGCTAAATGCATTTTTGTATGTCTTACGCATTGTGTGATTGCCTTTGATTCTTTGTCATACATTCTTGTTCTCTTCATTAATGTATGTTGCTTGGCATGTGTATTTTTGTCTTTACAAACCCAACAAAAAGTATTATTTAAAATATGTCAACTCTCTTGTGCCCCACGGTAGGTTTTTAAAGTCCCAAAATGCAAACAAACCTTACTGGCGGATCTATAGACCCACAACAGGTGCTTTCCTTCTATTAACTGCACTCCACCTCTGTGACCAGGTAAGGGTTTACAGGTGTAGCACAAGACCTAAAGTTGCTGGTCTGAGCTGTAAGGATGGTGCGACCAAGTCTCACTTCCTCCCCAGGCAAATGAGACATCTGTCTTGAGCACCAGTTCAGCCAGAAAAACTTCTCTACCAGTTCTTGGCTCTGCTGCTGCTTCCTCTTCTAGCCTTTTAGCTAAAATCAGCCTTGCAATTCCCGGCTGATCAGCACTCACATGTCCCCTCAACCTACACACTCTTTCCCCCCTCAATCGCCCATTATTTTCCAAGCTACTTTTATTATGTTGGTGGTTTCCATGCACTTCAAAGACATGTGCATCCCAGTGACCTTGTAACTGTTGCCGCTGAGTGTAGCTTGAAAGTTTTTCCCAGTTCCACCCTTGTTTTTCTCTTCTCCCTCCTTTCTTTCCCTGCTCTTTCCTTGCACCAAGTTTAACAAGACTTGCAGACCAGAAGAAGGCCAAGGCCCCCTCCCATTCTCACTTGCTCCCACATGGTGCTGTCCTGCAAAACAGCCTCTCACTGATGTTGTCAGTGAGGACTTGTGGCAGGAAGGGGAGTGCAAGGTGTCCTTCTGCTGGGTGCATCCCTGCAGGAGGGGGAGAGGAAGGCAGCGGGGATTCGGGAAGCACTAGCGGAGAGCGGGGAGGAGGCTACAGTGGCTTGGATCTGCCTTCCCCACATATGCCACCTCCACCTCCACCTTTTCCCACAGCTGCTTTTGACTGCATACATATGGAAGAATGCAGCTCCAAATCACTATACCAGATGCTTTTAAAGCTCTTCTGAAGTACACCATCAAAGGTGCTCGTGCTGTTAGCAGAATCAAAAAAGGAAAGGAAAGGAAAGGAAAGGAAAGGAAAGGAAAGGAAAGGAAAGGCCTTCCACTTTTCTAGAAATTGCCCTTGCAAGTGGTGCTTGCTCACTCTGTAGACAAGTGGATACCCAGCTATGTTCATTCCCAACTGCATTGAGGCCAGTTTGCAGAAATACCAGTATGGCAAATGCCTGGAACACAGACAGACTCTGGTGTTTCTGGCACAACTCCCTTGCTGGAAGCAAGAAGGGGAACCAAGAACGCTGCTGGGCTGTTGTTTGCCCCACTTTATGCTCCTCACCCTTGTCTCTCTGCCTCTAATGGCCACTTTCATATTCCTATACTTTACACCTTATTCCTTCATTCCTTCCTTCACTGTCCTTTCTTAAAAAAAGCTCTGCATGTTGGCCAGTTTAAAGTATGCAAGTTGAATGATCATTGTGTATTTTCTAATTTGCATGACTTAGTCCAGCTGCATTGTTTTATAATGCTCCACCTCCCTCTGCCTTTCTCATTTAAGTCAGGGCTTGGCAATCTGTCAATATTGCATGTCATAATTTGGTGCACCAATTTTCTCCTTGCCTACTTCTGGCCATTTGTTAGTTTTAAAACGAAGGCCTCGCAGTAGAGTTGATGGTGAGGTTGCTTTGAAGATGGAGGAAGCAGCATTGCGGGAAATAATGTTCAACCCCCTTCCCCTTGCCCTTTCCCTTGGTCAACGTTTTCCTCTGGGCAAGTGCTACCACCTGTGCAGGGGGGGGGGGGGGAAGACGGGTCAAGAAGCAGTACCGGCCTTTCCTGCAACACCTCAGTGGCTCCCATCAGATCTGGAGCTGGTTGCTTCCAGCTGGGGAAAGGGCAAGGGAAGGATGCTACTCCTTCATCTGCAAAGCTCCCGGCATGGAGCTGCTGGTAGTCGCTGCCTTTTCAAACCCTGCAGGAGATCCGAATCGTGCTTCCTGCATGGTGCATCTAGCTCGGCCCCAGGTCTCGTTTCCCAAAACTCCCTTTCTGCAGCCAGTGCAAGCTCCCTTATTACGACTCTTTGCCTCCCCCAGGTAAGTGCTTACGGTTACATCACAGAAGGCTACCAGAACTACTCAGATCACTATTATGACAAGATAAAGAAGAAGCTAATTTTTTATGCCAATCATGATTTTGATCTGGAACGAAGGGTGTGGAAAAAACTTCACGATGCAAACATCATGAAGCTCTACCAACGATCCTGAGATCCTGACTGCTAGCTGCTGTTGCCGCTGCCACTGCTTCTTTTGCCAGGCAGAAACTTTAGAAGTGGAAGCGTTGCCCAGATCCAGCATCTCTGGCCAGTAGCTCCCTGCCTCTCAAGACTTTGTTTCTGTGGAATTCATTTGTGCATTGTCAGAATCCCGAAATCTCAATTTGTGAGAGGCCCGGTGGGAAAGATCAATCGTTATGAACCTCTGTGTCTTTATTGTCTATCCCAGGTTCCCCGCGGTTCACTCATGATAAGGCGCAGAGGTAAACTTGCTGCAAAGCGTCAATACCATTGCAGGGCATTTATAGGTACACAGGTACAGGGCAATTGATGACAGAATGCAGGGATTACAATAAGATTCTGAGGTCATCACATACAGAACAGATAAAGAAATGTCAGTCAATCACACAGTAACATGAGATTACAATATTTCTAATTGCCTGTATTGACACTTTAGTTGAGTAACTTGAACCCATCTCCAGGTCCGCTCAGACATGCAAATTCAAGCTACTAGAAACTATTCATGATAAGCTCAAACCCCTATCTCCCTAAACATTCTGCATGATCAGGGCACATGAAGCCCTGTGGGCTATCAAGATTACTTCCTTGTAAAACTGAATTCCAACAACGATTATTTAATCATTGTGAAGGTATACAATGTAAATTTGGACTGAATGGCCTGTCTGCTGTGGCCCACAGCTAAAGGTGAGAGAAAGGAGTGGGGGATGAAGGCCATTTTAAACAGTGACAGCTTGGTTTTGGGAAGGAAGACAGGATTTGATCCCACAGTGCAAAGGCACAGAAGTAATGCTTTTCAGTCAGGATTTATCCAAATTTTCCCGACAGTATCATCCATCCAACTGCACACACGGCTGCTCTTTGAGAGGATAACTAGTGAGGTTAATTATTTCCTGTGAATCTGCTTGGGCAGTAATGAGATGAATCTGGTTGCAGGTTCAGCTGTTGCAATGCTACATGTACTGGCCGGCCACTTCTTTCCAGTGTTGTAAACCAAGATTCTTCCCACTGTTGCCATGTGCTTTGAACCTGGTCCAGGCAAAGATGCCCTCAGATCCTGCTGAGCTGTGTTCTCCAAGGTTCCTCTGCTCCCCTTCAGGAGGTGGAATGAGGGTTGTGCAAGGAGTGCCTGTCAGTGCCAAGCCTGCATGGCTAGACTTTGACTCTTCTCTATTCTGAGTGAAACTGGGTGATAGCTAAGATAACACAAGAGGTGCCTATTCTTAAAAGGGCAGGGGGCCATTCTGGGCGCACCCTTCTGCAGTGTAGCTACAGGCTGGGTGCCCAACGTGGTGGGAACAAATTGAATGATCCCTGTTTAGGGCCTTAGGCGAGCTGTAAGACGATGGTGTTCTGGACTGAACTTTTTACTCCATGTGGCAAAAGTGTACCCCCAAGATCTTAGCCTCAAGAACTGTATTATGACTTCCCCCCACACCATGTTCCAGCTGCCTAGAGACCTTAATTTAGGGAGCATTCAGCCTTATCCAATGCCACCCTAAATTATGGGATGAGCCAAACCACCCCCAACCTGGTACTTTTACTCACTGTATCAATCCACTTGCAATCCCACCAGATTTGGCAGTTGATCAGGATCACTGATCAAACCCTTCATTAGCAATGTAGCTGGCAATTTACAGTATAACCAGAAACAGAAAAGACTTGAGATGATTTTGTGCTATGACTATCAATGGCACACAACCCCTTCAGCCCAGAAAGTTCATAATATTTATACAGTGCACACAATGCAGTTAGTTTTTATTCTTCCAGGTGGACAAGTCCTGGGCAGAGTTCTGCAGGTACACAGAGGGGTGTCAAGGGCCTTTACCCCAAACTCTTATCTTCAGAGGATTCCAGCCGTCAAAGCAGCCAAACGGTTTGCTAAGGCAGAGTCACTTTCTTGGAGCAACGTAGAGACAACCCTGTCTGGCCCCCAGCTGCTCATGGAGCTTTTTATGATGCTCAGTTCTTCCTGTCTCGCTTCCCTAAGAAACCTGACCTAACCTGATGCCTCCTCAAGTTAGCACAATTCTGCAACTTAGACTATAGTGCAGAGTACAGGTAGTCATCAAGTTTAGAATGAGTCCCATTCCTAAGAACGTCCTTAAGTCAAATCTGTATGTAAGTCAGATCACATGAGTAAGCCTAATGTTTGTCTTAGTATATGTACATATTTTACCTTTCTATGCATATAAAACCCCTAAGAAACAATTAAGAAACACTTCCAGATTCACTAAAAGTTCTGAAGCACAATACAGCATTGTAATAATGACAATAATACAGTGATAATAAAGTAACTATAGGTACTGAAGAGAAAGAGAGAGAATCTGTATGTATGTGTGTAGGTATACAATCAAATAAAAGAAACAGTTCTTAAAACAGTCTAGAAAATTCTTGAGGTAACATTAAGTCTAACATTAACTGATGATGATGGAGATGAACCTGGTGCTAAAGAGTGAGGGTTTGATTTTGCTGCTGGAGCGGGGCTGGGAGGTACCACTGGAGTCACTTGCTTCAAGTAGGCCTCAAGGGTTGTTTGTACAGCCATTTTCTTGTTTTCATTGCCAAAGACATTGTGTAGTTCCCTAGAGATACTCGTGGCTTTTTGCTAGAGAGATTTGTATAGGGTTTCTGATAGGTCGCATGTTCGTATGTATGGGTTGTTTATAACCCAGATGTTCATAACCCAAGGACTACTTGTATTGGCAGAACCCACAGGCTGAACCTGTACAGGAGGGAAGCAATTCTTGCTGGCTCATTCCTCCCTCTGCAGACCTCATCACCATCTCCCCTGCCATTCTGAGATCTCCCAACCATTAAGAGCAGGTGTGAAGGATGCTGCAGTTGGCAAACGGGTGGTGAGACCTTCTCCTTCTTCAGCCTGTTGGAACACTCTACTGGATCAAAAGCCTCCCACTTACAGCCGTTCGTGGGATGCTTTTGCTTGATCCAATCAAATGTGCTTAAACAAACACCTGATTGTGGTTTTGAAAAAGTAAGTTTCATTCTAACTAGAATAAGTTCCAACACCTATCTGTGAGAAGTGATTATGCATTATATCAGTTTGATTGAATGTTGCCTTTAACCAGATTAATGGCTTTTAATTTAAATAGTCAAAGCACTACTAAAACTTGCTGAGATCCTGCTGGCATTATTATCTTCAGAACTGAAGTAAAAATACATTATCAAGGACCTTGTACCTATTTGTCCTTTTGAAGAGGGCTTTTTTCTTTGAACAGATTTGTATGTTATTTTCATTCCAAACCAAAGAAGACACACAAAGTTCAAGTTCTGCTTATTTTTTGTTGGGTAACCTAGGAAACAAATTATAATTTTCAAATGGATGGTAAATAATAAAATAATACAGGTTGTTTAAAGGACTCCTTTAGAAATTTTTTAATGGTCTTTGCCACTTTTCCTGGACCTCCAAGGCTTATCTACAGTGGCCCACAAAAATTCTCATCTAGAGAAAGCATAAGAACAAGGCAACTTTAATTATCAGAAGGCAACTATTCTGTGTTTTTCTCTTTGGTGGATTTTCTGCAGTAAGAAAAAAGACAGAACAAGTTATGACAAAAGTAGGGATCTGCAGGAAAGAATGGAAGACTGTATGATTGACTCAGGGAGCCTTATTGGCTAATGTGGCAGGATAAATATCCAATAAACAGATAAATTCAAGGAAGGATGTCTTAGATGTTGATCTCCACAAGAACAAACCCTGGATATCTCAGATCTGGAAAACAGCCAAGCTGCCAGCCTGGAAGGACTAAGAAGTATTGAGATGTCTAAACTTTCTATTGGTTGTAGGATCTACCAGGCCTTCACCTCCAATCTAACCCTCTGGTTGGTTTAAAATTCTATATAAGCCCTTCTGGGTCATGTTTACTCCAAGATACTTCCTTGTACTTAGCTAGTGAGCATTCTGCAGCTGTTCTATCTTTTTATCCTTAACGGAATTTCTGTGGTAAAGGAGAAAAGACAGAAGAAACATAGGAGGTTACAAATGGAAAACCATAATGTTAGGAAACCTGCCCCCACCAAAAAAAAAAAAAAATCCATATGTAAGTCATGACAAGTACAAGATAAAAGACTCGGGTGGAAGCATTTCCATCTCAGCTTGGAATTCCCCACTGACCAGCCACAGCTGTATCTTCTCACCCTTGGATCCTTTGCGCCTTTGCTTGATATAATCTGGATATAACACTGCTTCTGTAAATGTTGATGTCTCTTTAGTCTCACCTTGCTGCAGGGTCTCTTGATTTAGCCTGCTGCAAGCCCTTGGATTTGCATTGCCAGGTTGCTTCCTGACATATTACATTACAAAGGGGCTGTGGATGGAGAATTAAATTCAGTCAAAGAATACAGAAAGACTCGGAGAAAGACATTACCCCCAACTTCTACCTTCAAGAGCTGGGAGAACTGGACCCCTGGAGAAAGTTGTTTGTTGATGCAGGACTGCTGGCAGTTAAGGAAATGGTAGAGACATTTTTAAACATCTTCGTCTGTGTTATGAAATGGTTATGCCTCCCTGCATCACCTAGAATTTTATTTATATTCATTAAATTTGGTAGGAAAAAAGCAAAAACATAAATCATTCCACACTGTATTTACTCAGCTTTGGAATTCACAAGCCTCAAGCAAGCACACAAACACACTTGGAACAAACTAGTGAATCTGTAAGTTTCTCCTGCATTTGATTTTTTTAAAAATGTCTCAATTTGTCCTCTTCTGCAAATGAACTGTGCAAATTTTGGTACCTTCTTACCAAAAACAAGCTGAAACAAATTCTCGTCCATCTGCACCAGCCAAATTCAATCTACAGCTCTTCCTAGCCTGGAGAGGGCCTTGCTTGCCATCTTGACAAGAATATCAAGTATGTCACCCAGAGAAGAACAAAGCTCAGCCTCCAGCCCTTGCCCTTCTCCTTCATACTTCAGAGTGGGGAGCTAGCAACCTGCCTCGTTATATTTGCCA